CCCTCCGCGTTTTCCCACTAAAATTCTGCATTAATTTCTCTTCTGCAACACAAATTCCATGCATTTAATTTTCATTAATTTGACCGGCTTTAGTAACGTTTGGTGAAGATTACAAATCATGAAAACTTCCCACTACCTGTGTAATTCTCTACACGTTTCAAATGCTACCTATTCTTCTTACAAACCGTTCAGAACTATTAAAAGGAGATTAAATGCAACATCTCCTACACTGATGATTTTACATACCATTGAACTCGTGCAATTCTATGTGAAGCATGTGCCTCAATATTTGAAACGAATTTTAAGCATGCAGCGTAGAAACGTGTTAAAATTTCATTCGCCTGTCATTGTGGTTTCATTATAAAGTTGTCAAAGGCTGGGTGGAAGTGGAGCGCAAACATTCATAATAGGAAATTGTGGTGTTTCGTTTTGACTGATCATACACATCCAATATCCTAGAAAGCAAAGTGCTGGAAGCTAATATAAGGATACAGTAGATGACTTCAGATGCTATATTTTACTTCCGTGCGCATATTTTGTCAATAAAACAGCAGGCTTTAGGCTCTATGAAATTACGTATTTGTAGAAAATAACACTACACATAAGAAACAATTTCAGATTTTTTATTTATAAGAATTAAAGAATGCGTCAAATTATTAAGTATTTCTGCAAGCCCCGAAAATTACATTAACAAATAAAAATAAAATAATTAAACACTATTAAATATGTAGGTAATGATAAAATTAATTTATATAATAATTTCATCAGATTATCCTACTAAAATCCTTGAGATACGTAATCAAACACATGATTGCAGAATTAATCTATTACACATTTCAAGCGTTTATCATAATTACCGCAAAAATGATATTGCTTCAATTCTCATACCGACACTGTGACATATTCCAAGCAACATTATTTCGGAACGAATAATAATTTTTATAACGCAATAATATGTTGCACTCTACATAATATGTGCTACTAACAGTGCCATTAAACCATAATTAAAAGCATATTAATATTTGGAAAATGGCGTGGAATGTTATGTGTAAAGTAGAATGGAGTTATCTGTAATTATTTTACTAATTACTTTGATCTTAATTACCATGAAATTTATTGCTGTAACTCACTATCGTTCTTCCAGTAATTTATTTCGGCAAGATTTTAAATTATTTGTTAATGATCTCTGCCGATCAATATAAATTTTAAACAACCCGGAATTTATGTTACATTAGCAGGTATTCTGAACTTCAGAGGCCCCTTAACTTGCCAATCTGAGCTGCGAGAATATTTAACGAACGGAAACACTATTAATCTTTACTAACGTCCAAATGTTGATAAGTTGGTGGCAGAGAATTAATGCCAAGGTACGCATTGATGCTACGGGATATAAACTACTATGATGATCGTGTATCTTCCTCGTACTGACATTTATCTATCTTATAACTAAGTGCAACTAACATTAATCCATAAAATAGTATACAAACTACTACTTTTATCGTTTGTCTTTTATATTTACCCTCTTGGGAAGTGTGCTGTTTAGCGCCTAGCCTTTGGAATAGATCTCATTTTGAACACCTGATAGCTGCTAAGTTGGCCAAGACATTTTCCGATTTTTACAGAGCCCAAACGTTCATACTTTTTTAAAACAACCCCGAACTGTGCTTTATCCTGAGCCAGCTGTGTCCAGTTCAATCCCTCAACCCTGATCAGTTTTAATGTGTCTATAAGTCTCCCATCCACAAATATGTTCAAAGTGAAATCTTGCAATTAAATTCTTGCAGGCCTACGTATTACATGTAAGCATCCTCTTACAGATTAAAGCTATATTTAAAACCAATGGCAGGCTACACACAACATTAATTGACGAGAATGTTTGGAAATTGTAGCGCATATAAACGCTCTCTGACACGATACAAAGTCTAAAATGGGAACTACGCCTTTCGGGCTGTACTTTAATACGCACGGCTGCAGTTGGGCACCTTTACATTTCCGTAAATTTGTAACTCCCGCCACTTTCATTCTTGCACCTACCTCGCTTTTACTCCTCCTCTGAACGTCACCTTACCTCCTCTCACTCTGCGTCTCACTTTTTCTCTCGTTATTCCCACTTTTCCTTCACACTCATTACACTTATTATCACTGCGTACTCCTCCCATCATTTTCGCCCTCCTTATTCTTTCGGCCTATATCTCATTTTCTACTTCCGTTTAAGCCTACACTTCTCCTCACTGCCTCCTCTCTCTCTAGACTTTCTCTTTTTGTCCTTAATCTTCAGCCGTGATCGATCTCTTTCATAATTTCATCTTCCTTCACTGTTCCACGTAACACTGTTCCAATTTCAGCTCATTCCTCTCTCGCCATTCTTATAGCGATCTATACTTTAATCTGGATCCATTTTTAACTTTTCACTCTTACTCCCCTCTCAATTCTTATTACTTTCTTTCCCCATGCTCCTTCTACGTTCTATTTAATCCGGCAGCAATTTTATCCAGAATACCTCCTTCATCCACACCACTCTCTTTCTCTCGTAAGTAAATGCTGTGCGTTGGAAATAACGCAGTTCGCTTTATCTTAGTCTTCTTTCGGCGGGTCATAAAAAGAGGAAACCAGTAGTATAAAATCGGTTTCATTAGACTTTAAACTATGATTTAATAAAAAAATGCCGCTATTTTAAATTCAAGGTCACATAGTCACATGAAAGGACTATCGAGCAACGGTTGATTCAAGTGACCCTTTGCATGATTTTGAATTTAAGAACAGCATTCTCGATAAAGCCACAGGCCCCCAGCTTTATGAAACAGTTTTCATGAAATCCTCGACACGATGTTTCAGGAGACATGGTTTGATTAATATGTCTAATGAACTACGCACGATTTAAGGAAAGGCCGCATCCAGTACTAACACATTTATTTCTCACTGACAAATACCACTTGGCTACGAAACGTCTGATTACAGGTAAAACACGGATTGAGAGTGTCAGAAAACAGGTGGCCGAGGAAGCTAAAAGACGTGAACTAACAGCAGGACACAAAAAATACATACGCCTGATAATGAGTTTCGTCTGCATTCTTCACAAAATATTATTGCGGTCATCAAATGAACGAGTGTGATATAGGTAATACACGTAGCAAGCTTGGGTGAGATTAGAAATTCATATAAATTACAGTCGGAAAAGACAATAGAAAATGCCCAAACCTCAAACATTACGATGCACAGCAGTTACTGTAGTTACATTACTAACGTCAGAACTTCCGTAAACGAAAAACAAACAACTGTATTTGTTAACGCCTTAATTATATGCGTATAACAAGCGCAAGAGATCATTCATAAGAAAGTAATTGGCTCTTTGTTGCAACAGAATTATGTTCGTAAATAATAAAATATAAATAAGTATGGTTCGTTGTAGCGAAAACTCATAAATCGAGAGACAGGCCTGTTGCTAAAGCTTGACGTGCCTACAGGCTATTCCTTTCTGTCTGAGATCTACTGCTCATTAAAGTAAGTTACGCATTTGGAACTTGGTAACAACTTTTTATATAAATGTAATTATTTCACGTTGAAAATCGCGAACGATCTGCAGACCGAAAGAATCATTCAATGGATCATTCAATTTCATATTTATTAACGTACAATTTACATACGATTTCGTACACAACCGGGAGAATTTAAATTACACGGCTAGTAAATAAATTATAACTCTTCAATGTCAATAATTTCATAATAACTGATACAAAAGACAACGTATTTATGGGTTTCTGGCGCAATGACGTCTTTTCTCACATTCATCCGCAGCAAATATGTTTAAACTCCATACAAGGATGTTCGTATCTCATTTAAACCAAGTGAACGGATTAAATAACTCCTAACTCAAGCGTCCGTATAATGAGTGAGTGGGTGGGGTCCCATACATGCAGAATGCATATAGAAAACTTTCCACAGGGCCCACGCACCGTAATCACGTTACACTCAGCGGTGCCCTGTCTCATAGTTTATCCATAAATACGAAATCCAAGCACGAGACTAAGACGGGTAAGCTCCCATTTTTGAACATACTCAGCATTACATTTTAAAAACAGAATTAATTCTTTCAGACTGTAAATCTTAGAGAACTGATACAAAATTAAGACCTGTATTAAAGTGGCAGTGAGCCTTTTAAAATTAAACAAACTGAGAGAGAGAGAGAGAGAGAGAGAGAGGATGTCAACTGACTTTATTTGGCTCTGGGTGGGGTTGAATGCCGGTATCTCATATCACGATGATTAACTTAGGGTTACATGAAGAGCACAGAATTTTTTTATCAGCCGAGTCATTACAATCTTCTGAAGAATATCTGTGCTGCACATAAATCAGAAATGACAGCATTTTACCACACAAAATGTTTTATTTGATGTTTACTGTAGTCTACCTTCGGCGTGGTGATATTCCAATGGGAGCAAGTTATAAACATTTGGCCTCTGAAACGTTGGTAAACATCGACCAGACTACACAGCGCAACAACCCAGAAGACAGAAATCTTCATACTCACCGCTGTGAAAACCTCAAATCATACTTACACACATTTGTTATAACATACGATATAAGAGGTCTAATACAGAGAGTTCAAAAAAGACGTACACACAGCAATAACTTTAGGCGCCGTTTGTTAGACATCTGTTCACCGTTATCAACTGTGCCATGAAGGTGACGGAGGTCATTTTGAACACCTGCACTTGATTTGCTAATTCAGTAAGTGCCAATTCTGTCGTTTGCAATGGTTTAGTTTATTAAAATATATTTACTTTATTCATTTAACGTGTGCATATATCTTTTTTGTGACAACCTATATTTGGTACTGTAAAATTCTGAATGCGTTTCCAGTACCTGATAAACAGACGTGAACATAAAATCAAACAACGTTTATGTGACTCCTAGACTTCATTATTATATTTTTCCAGGACAACTTACTGAGCTCGGGTAAGGACGTGACTGCATCAGTTACACAAACTCATTTCACTGACCTGTTGACGGACTGTCGCTAGTGATGGAGTCTATCGGCTGGAACTGGAAGCTGGACTTGAAGCCTTGTCCAGGCCATTCGGAGTTGGCCACGAACTCTATGTAGAGATCTGGTCCGGTGGACAGGACTTCAAGCTCCGATGCCTCGTTGCATAACACTGTTATGGCAGGCGCAGACGAACTTCGGCCGTCATATACTTTGATCACATCCGCACGGTTCAGGCAACTGCAACAAGACGATGGGCGTCTTGAAGCACTTCAAGGCGCTGCATGTAACATCCACCTGTCTTCCTTGCGCACCATAAGTGCGCCTCTTATGTCATGCATACACATATATAGGAGAATCGACGGAACAGAATAGAATAGAGCCGAGCATAACGGAACAGAATAAAATTAAACACAACAAAAAAGAAGAGGGCAGTAAAGAAACAGAGGATAAAAGAATGGAGCATAAATTAAAGGAATAAAACAGGTTAAAACAGGACACAACAAAAATATATAACAGAATAAATCAGAATTGATCGGAACAGAAGAGAATGGAGTGCATAAAGCAGAATGTAAAAGAGCAGTTCAGAACAGAACGGGACAGAACACAATAGAATATCAATGAACAAGATAGAATAGAACAACACAACATTTTTTTTAGTGTTCTGTCTGACGACAGGTCCATATATTATGAACAGGATCCTTCCATCCTCTTCAGGTTGTCAGGGCCCTGCTCATCCATATATACGTTCTTGGCAGATGATCAGAAGTGGTTTGCCATTGCCTTCTTCTGTGTGTGTGTGAGTGGAGGAATTGTTGGGATGCCACGGAGAAACCAGGGAAGCCCCCGGAGGAAAACTCCGTGATGCCTAGACCACGGTCTTGTCCAACACAAGTTATAAATCTGAGCACCACCGGGAATTGAACCCGGGACCCCAGGATTACAAGGCTAGAACGTAACATAATGGAACAGAATAACACAGAATAGAATAGAAAGGAATAGAATAGAATAAACCACAATAAGACCGGAAATGGTGGTCCTCAGACACCTCTAATAATGAGCCAGATATATTTGTTGTGCATCTTCACTAACTACCTCAGAAGAGACGGTGAACATGGAATAAATATCACCAGTTTACTGATTTTGTATCTAGTGTCATTATTACAGGGTTCGCAATTAACGTGTTTGCACCTAAGTAAATTCTTAGGTCCGAGAAAGGTTTAGGCATGTGTCGTTCACACGCACGCATAATTCTGAGACCATCTAGTACCAGCAAAATCGATGAAACCATCTCATAAAGACTTTAGTGCTGTTAATGTGTAAAACTACACATATCAATATAGACTAGGGGTGCAGAAAAGGCTACATAATCTTGTCGTGTTTCAAGCAGTCCCATAATTCTGCAATTAGTTGTAACTTTATATTACAGAGACGACGTTACATATTACAAACTAACGGTGCGAAAAAAAGACTTTTATCTGAGTTTGTAATTAAAAGTGTACATCCACATTCCGTTAAACCATGTTTCGGTGTATATTCCTCTTGAATCTCGAGGGCCATAAGCTGGTAATCCCACCTTTAAAGTTGGAATATGCGGAACTATTTACCTACTATAAAACTGATATTGGTAATGGAGATGCGATGTGTTTACGTTAAGTAAAAGCCACCATTTTACATATTGTTTAGATGAGCTACATGCTTAAAAGTGTTATGTTCAACATTTTAGCCCCCTGTCCTCCGAGTTCGTAATTTAAAGCACACAGAAATATTTCATTATTCCATTTTCTGGTTTATATTTCTCTTGACCCTCGTGGGTCAAAGTCTGACAATCCTACCTTCGCAGCTGTAATACGTGGAACTATTTATGTGCCTCGTGTGTCTCATATTATATACTGGCACGTGACTCGTTTCTCCAAAGTAATTTATTTCTGGCATGTAGAGCTTTTATCTCTCCTTTTTTACACAACGTGTCATATTGCAGCCTAATATCGAATTTCACATGGAACACATAAATCATATTCATTCGCTGTAACTGTCAGTGCTAATTAACAAAACCATGCAGAAATTACGACAAATACATCGAATGATAGATGGGTTTCACTTTCTGAATGATCGTTGCCAAGTTTCAGGTCACTGGAAAAGGCTAATTGCTTTTGTTTAAAATAGATGAAACCCACTTTCCAATGCGTTCTTTAGACGAGCTACATGACAAAGGACAGGTCACACTATCAGTCTGTATGTCTGTCCATCGATCTATGCACATACCTCCACAATTATACAACTGGCTCTAGGGAATACGATAATGAACTTTCGAGGTCATCAATGACTGAGAATTCCTGACTATCTGAAATGCTAGGGAGAAAGACTGGTATTCATGTAGGTAGATACGTTTGACACTCACGTGCGCTTCTATATGTTCGCCCCATTCTCCTAAATAACGAGACACTGTTTTAGTTCTCTCTGGTCGCTTGTCCCTAAAAGTACTGACCATGATTCAGTCCATTACAGTGATGATAAGACTTATTGCATCAATGTTGTTATTAACGTATTTGGGCAAACTATTTCTGAGGTGAGATTTCTGAATCTGACGGCGGATAATGAAGATGACTGTCTCCTGGGATGTTGTGTAGTCTAGTAGAAGTTAATTGGCATTTCAAAGGTGCTTGCTGTCTCCATCATCAGGGCAATTACTTTGATGATGAAGTTAAATCCGAAACGTTAGTAAACTTCTATCAAACTACAAACCAGAAGACAGTAATCTACAACCTATTTTAACTCGTAATAAATGGTGACTGGGATGGATAGAGACAACGTGTTACCAATATGAACTAGAATGTATTAGATCAATAAACGTGAGCCCCTTGCCGATATATAAAATGTAGAACTGGTGATATTAGCCGATATGAGATGAAATCCCGCGGGTCCAACGATGATTGATGACGATGATGATGCAGAAGATATACAAGAAGACAATCGTATTACAAAATTTTATTTTATCTTTATCCAAGATTTATTTAACGGGCCCTACAGCGCAAATAATATTTATGTTTTATTTGAAGGATTGAAGAACTTTGGAGATGAACATTTGAAATAATAAAATTCCAAAACAAAACGACAATCGCTTGTAGAATAATAAGACAATATCAGACAAAGATACATTCAGAAGAACTTCAGGTAAATATATCTGCGTTGGGAAATTTAGGAGTCCGGGCTATGGACCTGGAAATTGCAATTAGAAAGTAATTCCTCAATATGGATTTATCACATTCCGTCCGTAAAGTGTCATCAGACAACTGTCAGGACATACTATACCCGATAATGCGTTCTTTACAAACCTGACAGTGGCCAGGTATGACACGTGGATTACTGGACGTCGATCCTGCTGTCTTAATCACCCTTTGTCTGCTCTAGACTGATTTGTGATATAGCAAATAATATTTCCTAAGAAGCGCACAGTGTCAACTACCAGTCTTGTTTAACTTTCATGACTTACGTACGCCTAGGTTGTGTGTTATAGAAGTTAATCTCGTTTGGATAATAGAGAAGAGGAAGTTGTACTGTAGCTGGATGACTGGCAAGACTACGTAACCTACACACAATAGTGGTACTGCTTGTTGAATTATGTGGGTGACCGATCAAGCTTTCAGCGTGTAACGCGTCAGGTACAAAGAAAAGCAAAGAGAAAGGACACGAAGGGCCGCTTGGTCTCAGCGAAGGAACACATTTGTGATACTGTTTTAAAGTTTTAACCAACCCCCTTTCTTTCTAACCTTGCTTCATACCCCTTCATTTTACACGCAAAGTTCAACCCTTGGTTCAACTCTTGATTTGTGTAAAGAAAACAAAAGGATATGAAAACTCACACCTTGAAATATAGTTACGGAGAATAAAAGAACCTCCTTTCCTACTGCTTGTTACGCCATGTTATATCAAAGTCTCACAACTAAAAACAAAGGTAATATTTTGATGCTGTTCCACGAGTTTTTTTCCCGAGAAAATAAGAAGATCGTGTTAAAAGTTTACATTGTGTCAGTGAGCGCAAATTAGACAAGTTTTAGCCTTACAGTAGCTCTTGAAGAGATTTCAATGCCTGTTAACACAGATGGATTGTAATGTAACTTACAAAACTGGATTTCTCTCCAAAGGTTTTCAACAAATCTAAACTTTTTATGTTTCTCTGTTATGTCTGAATGTTTCTCTTGTATTTTATCTGTAGAATACTAGAAGGAGACAAAACGGTTTGTCATCCACCATTTATGTGCAATCGAGTTTAGATTTTCATTACCTTTACGTTCCAAAAATGTGTTATGGGACACTTTAAGGTCGTCTTGAACAAAATTTGGTATTTATGCACTAGATACTTTCCAAATATAGTCTTACTTAACGAAAATTAAAACAAAAGATTCACTTGATTTTAATCTGCTTCGGGAATTTATTACCTGTCTTCAGAGCAGTACAATTTTGATTTATTTGCCTACTGCGATATTTGTTTGGTATGTCAAGAACTGTTAATCTAAAATATATAACCCGTCATCCTATTTCGATAAAAAAACTTTGTGGCTCTTCATAAGAAATTTTGTTTGGTGAAAATGTCGTAAATGCCATGTAAAAGTAATGATTTCCTACTGAGTCCTCTTGAGAAGCGAACAATTGTTGTTATTAAAGATATTTCCCGCCTTTTGGATCCTGCAGTTTAAGTACTCAACACATGAACATATCGCGAGCCAAATAAGTTCAGTTTACACACTCACATCCTATTTATTTGATAAATTTCAATATTAGCCTCTCATACATACGTTTTCCGAAAGGAGTCTTCCCTTCCGGCCTGCCGACTAAACTATCGGATTTATTTCTTATAACCCATATACCTGGTACATGTCCAGCCCATATTATCCTTCATATGACTACTTTACTAATATCTGGCGCTGTTACAATAGGTCAGCGAAAACAAAACTATTTATTTTGTAAAATGCAAATGTTAACACGAACACTTCCATCCAGCAACCTACGGTCATAAAATAATCTTCTTCTTGGTGCCAGACTTTCTGTTACTACAAAGTTCTGATAAAGGAATAAACAACACAAGAATGGGAACTAGCCATTATATGGCCTATGGTACTTTCACAAGAAAACATTTTTTTTAATCCGTAGCGTAAGAGCTCTCTGAGAGCCAAAGCCGACTAGCTTGACAGCTGGCCTCACGTTCACATGCCTAAGCAGAGGTAAACGATCATCCAACC